CACTGTACCCCAGAACACAGCACTGCACCCCACAACGCAGCACTATACCCCAGACCACAGCACTGTACCCCAGAACACAGCACTGCACCCCACAATGCAGCACTGTAGCCCAGACCACAGCACTGTACCTGGAACACCGCAGCTCTGCGCACAGCTCTGCAAACACGCATGACACTTCTCAAAAGCCTCAGAAAAACACATTTCGCATCCTGTTTCTTCTGAATTTGAGCCATGTGAGAAAAGAAAAACGGGACTGAGAGCAGATGGACCTGAAAGAGCTCTATTAAGTCACATCAGACTGCCTGTCAGTAAAAGAGGCAGAGAGAAGCGAGTGAGTTCTTCTTCTGTCCTGCTGCTGCTCTCTGAAGAGTGGCTCTGCTTCGCCGTTCCTATAGTTCACCGGGACGAGGAAGGTCCTTCCCGCTGCCCTCTGCGGCACCTCCGCTGTCTCTCGGAAATGTGGCCGCGGTGAACATTTTTCATCTGTACTGCCTAGAAAGTCGGGGAGGGAGTTGCTCTCTGGAGCTGAAGGCTCTGAAAGGAGTCCTGCAGGCACCAGCTGCTCCTCTGTAAAGAACAGGACTCGGAGAGCGAGCACACAACTGTCCCAAACTCCTGGTGGCAGCTCCCCTGGAGCGGAGGCAAGACCGACAGGAGAGAGCACGTGTCCCTCCGCTCTCCAGCTCCCCCTAGTGGCGGCGTGCGGGATCCAGTGTCCCCACACTGGCTTGGACAGGGCCCTCCGACCCTTCGCCACCTGTTTGAAAGTACCCTGAGGTTTTGTGCGTCCAAAACAGAGTTCATCAGCAGTGCCAGTCCTCAGCAGCCTATAGTCATTCTGGCAGTACACGCTTTCCCAGGCATTTCAAGGACGTCTTCTTCTTTTCCCCAGTATTCCATGGAAAATCAAGCTGCTGCACCCCGGGTTTTCCCAAGGTGCATGGGAGTCCTCCATGGGTTTTGCGGTGAAGCAGTTCTCTTGCTGTGCAGCTGCAGCAGCTGACCAGCGCGGGTTTCCCCCTAGTGGTTGTTCCTGGTACTGCCACCTCTGCCCCCCTCCCTGAGGAAGGCCCAGATGAGCCCGTTCACGGCCTCCGGCTGGTCCTGCTGCACCCAGTGGCTGCAGCCGGGCACGATCCGGACGGCGCATGAGCCGCGCATGTACGCCCGCGAGGCCCGCGCCAGCCCGGGCCCCAGGAAGGCGTCGGCCTCCCCCCAGAGCAGCAGGCAGGCCACGCCCACGTCCTGGTGCCGCAGCGGCGTGTCGCTGCGGAGAGAGACAGAGAGGCGGAGAGCCGTCACCGGTGCCCTGGCTCGCCGACAGCCTGCTGGAGGAGCTGCGCAGCGCTGGACACGCAAAAACGACTCGGGGTACAACTGTGTTGCGGCGTGTGTGTGCGTGTGTGCGAGCTTGTATATGTGCATCTGTGTTTGTGTGCGTCTGTGTGTCAACATGCATGTGTGCATCTAGCTGTGTGTGCATGTATGTGTGAGTGCATGTATGTTTGCATCTGTGTGTGCGTGCATATGTGTCCATTTGTGTGCGCGAATGTGCATGTATGTGTCTATGTTTGCATCTGTGTGTGTCTGGAGAAAAATGAAGCATCTGCTGTAAAATCCAAAAGCAAGCAGCACAGGGGCATTTAAAACGTGTGTTGAGGCCGCTGGCACAGGGAATGTGGCATTTCAGGCCCTGGAACACAGAAATCGGCACTAGAAATGTGCCAAAAAGAAGAAACGGATCCCTGTCTGTATCCCGGCGGAGCTCGGGGTCACCTGCAGAGGCTGCGGTAGTAACTGAGAGGCCCGGCGAGCCCCCCGGGCTGGGACAGCTGGTACAGGTAGGCCTCCAGTTCCTGCTCCGTCAGCCGCCTGGCCCGGTTCTGGATCCCCACCCAGCGACCCGTCATCAGGCTGCGCACCAGCTGGGAGGCGGGGTGGAAAGGGACAGGGAGTGGGGAGATGGAGAGCCGCACAGTGTCAGAGAGTATGGGGAGATGTGATGCAGACTGTGGATGTGGTTTGAAGGTACGATTCAGAGCAGGAAGGCAGAGGAAGACCACAGCTGTCGTGACTTCCTGCACTACGATATAAAGCTGTCATTGTCACAGTGCCACTGTGTCTGTGGTGTGGTCCTGTTGGGTATTTTGTGATGTCATG